CAATTTACCTGCCAAAGATTGCAATGACAAAAAGATAATAAACTAAAACTATTCCAAAAACAAAACGAAGAAACCTTGACCATTCAAAACTCACAAGGGTCCGATTAAAAATAAAACAAACTTGGCTAAGTACAACTTACATACATTGAAATCAACTCTACATGACTATAAATGAGTCAATTATGAGTTACATAAATTTTAAGGCTTACTAACGAACCTTTGATTCGATGATACTTCTTACCTTGTGAAAGTTTTGTCATATTAAAGTTAAAGGTTCAAGTCTCATTTCCCCCGANAAAATTGATGCTCTTTGTCTTGTTATTTCACTTTTTACGTTGACTATAATTTAATCTGAATGATGAAAATTAAAATGTAAAAAAATAGTCTTGTGGTTAAATATTTTGTAGATTATTATCATTCAAAAGTTTTTCTTAGTTGATGACATTTTAGAAATAGTATAAACACAAATATAAACATAGGTTATTGGAGGAAAATTTGAATATTTAAATAATTAAGGATGTAATGGTGGTAATTTGGATAATTAAATGCAAAATGACATATTAGTCTTATATTTTACTTTCAAGCTTCTTGTTCTTATTACTAGTACATATGAATTCTCAAGTTTGAAGCAACAATCTTAGCCGAATTATAAGAATGGTCTAATGCATGAGTCTCCTACCACAGTGAAATCTGAGAAAGGTCACATATATGCAGCCTTACTCCATATGCAAAAAAGTTATTTCTACGACTCGAACATTTGACACCCAAATCACAATGAAACAATCTTACTACTGCGCCAAAATCCATCTTTTAATATTAGCAGAATTAAAAGAACCTAAGCCATGTTGAGGTAACAAGGGCGTACCATTCTGCAAAGCAACATATATGATAAGAAACTTGTATTAAAATCATCAAATTCCATAACATCTGCTTTGAATAAAAAAATAAAGCAAAATTGAACTACTTTGTTATGCACGCTATACATAAACGGGCTACTTCAACATTGTTGTGATAGTATTTGAGCATATTGGTACTTATACGACAAGAAATTTCACTACCTTGTAAAACAGATGTCTCCATTTACCTCAGTTTTTCATTCAAAGCTACTTGGTGGATTCTTATTCAAAGCTTATAACACTTCCCCTTATCACTTGGGTCAAGTGAACTTCAATTCACCATGAAGATTGGGTGTGGGTGGGAGAAGGAACAACTGTGTTGATTCAATTAGAAAATGACCAATTATGTTTCTTATGTTGAATGATTAGGGTTTCAAATTCAAGTAGTTTATTGCTACAAGATTAGTGAAGTTACAAAATATCAGTGATTATATGCAATTTACCTGCCAAAGATTGCAATGACAAAAAGATAATAAACTAAAACTATTCCAAAAACAAAACGAAGAAACCTTGACCATTCAAAACTCACAAGGTTCTGATTAAAAATAAAACAAACTTGGCTAAGTACAACTTACATACATTGAAATCAACTCTACATGACTATAAATGAGTCAATTATGAGTTACATAAATTTTAGGGCTTACTAACGAACTTTGATTCGATGATACTTCTTACCTTGTGAAAGTTTTGTCATATTAAGGTCAAAGGTTCAAGTCTCATTTCCACCTGCCATCCCCCTCCCCCCAATATATATAAAGAAAAATAAATAAATTTTAAGGCTTAAAACACTTAAAGACACATGAAGAAATTGATAACTCTAGATGTCACTTGGAAGGTGAGTTATGTCAACCTCATGGTTGATTGTATAGCACTCCTTGGAAAAGTCATTCAAACACACTAGCTATTGTAAGTGGAACCTAAAAACTTAAACACTAAAAGAGCTTAAACAAAGCCCACTATATATTTGGCCAATCTCATATAATCAATTTTTTCCCCTAAAAATTCTATCATTCTTAGTCTTTAACGTGAATAGTGAATTAAGACTTGAACTAATTCAATTACATTACGGATAAGATTTGATTATATTAACATTAGTGGGTATTATGTGCGACACACAGAATTTATTATCTCTTTTTATTCTAATGTTATACCAAATCCTCCGTAACAATTTCTATTAGTATTAAAATGATGTTTATCTATATTTTAAATAATTAAGAAAGATAATTGAAATTTTAAATTTGAAGTAGTTTAAAAAAATGGTATGAGTGGTTACAAATGACAAATGTAATGTTTTGATTGGATTTACCTAATTAAATATTTCAAAATTTTAATAATTAGGCATTTAGGGTGAGAAGTCATCGCAAAGTCTCTCATCCTTAATTTGATTGTTTATAGTATAGTAAGATACGAAAAAGGAAAAGGTTGAAGCTTTTACATTATATTCCTACATTTTTCTTTCCAAGATGATTGGATCTTACATTTTTCTCCCCATTTACCCCTAATATGGGAAAGAAAAATGTTATTTGGATATAATTTTGGGATATAATTTGAAGACCAAATCAACCATAGTTGTTGGATTAAAAAAGAATTCTATTTAAGGGTGTTATATCCAATACTTTGCGAAAGAGATTTTTTTGGCCTATCCTACCTAATCAAGTATATTATTCTTACTCAAATTCTGTCTAAAATAATCAGGTAGGAAGTCGAGTAGGAAATCGGGTGAACACAATGTTTTTCAGTTATTAATTTTTAAATTATTTTAACAATTCAATTAAGTAACATACACCAATTAANTTCTATGGGATTTTCAGTCAACACCATCACTTCACTCTTTATTTCTTTTCCTCTCTTTTCCTTAACATTTGCCTTTTTGTTTTGTCCCTCTTTTCTTCTTTTCACCCCTTTTTCTCCTTTTCTTGAAATTTTTTTTTTCGTTCAACTCTTTGAATTCAACTTCTTTTTTTTCTGGGGGGGANTATATATATATATATATAGGGTCGAGCAGGAAGATGAAATTTTTATGAGTATTTCACATTCTTACCAATAGGGTGGGGTCGAAATATTCGGATAATAAAAAATTTCAACACACCCCTAATTCCATCTAATATTTAAAATTACTATTACTTTAATGATTGTATTAATTTGATCCTCAAATTAATACCCCCTATAACATCTTTGAAAAACTAAAAGTGGAATTATGTTATTACGGCCTAAAAACCTAAGGTAATATTTTACCTTAATAATGATATGCTATTTGATTCTACCAAAAATGTTCCACAGTTTTTAATATAAAAATACTATTAGATTGTAAGTATCTGTCCAACAATTATGATGGATTGATGTTTATGTTTTTTTGTGTTTTGTTGTAATTGTTTTAGATTTTAGTATTATTGGTTTATTGTGTTGTTAAATTGATGCATGTTATTTAATTAAATTGTTAAAATGATCCAAAAATTAATAACTATAAAAGTATTCACCCGATTAATTTGGCCGGAAGTCAGGTAGGAATACCACACTTGATTAGGTAAGGTAGACCAAGAAAAAAAAATTCGCAAAGTATCAAGTAAAAAGATGGAATACCATATTTTTTACCCATAGAGTAGGGTGAACACCCCTAGTAATAAATGACATTTTAATCTTTTTTTAAAAAAATGTACTTATGCTTCATTTTGTAGGAATGATGAAAAGTAGGAAGGATGGAAAATAGGAGAGATACACTTTCTATTCTTCAAATAGGGAAAGTGGGAATAATACACTTTTCTTCCTTTGTGTTTGGTTGGATGGATGAAAAATAAAAAATAACTAATCAAGTTTGTGTTAATTTCGTGTCGTGTTCGTGTTCGTGTTCGAGTTAATCAAGTTCGTGTCGGGTTCAAGTGGGGTTATCGTGTTAGTTAAAATTTTTCACCCCTAATTAAAATGGAAAAAATATTTTTTTTAATTTAAAATTTTTATCTTTATTTTTTTATTTTTTTAAATTTTTTAAAAAATATATATATAAATACATATTTTATTAATTTTATTATTATATGAAATTAATGTATACATAATATATGTATAAATAAAAAGATATATAAACAATAATATACATCTCAACACAAATAATTAAATTTTCATCCACTTTCCGTCCAATTTTGGAAGGATTGATTTTTGTGAGTTAGAAGGAAATTTAATCCATCCATTTTTCCATCCTTCTTACTTTCCTTCCTTATCAAACATGATATTTTATTTATTCCTCCAATTTTTCATCCATCCATTTTTTTCATTATATCAAACAGAGCATTAGAGTCAAATAAGTTTCTTTAATATAGTTTAGTTCAATTAAATTTAAATTCTTGCACAGACTTCCAAATTCTCCAAAAAAATATAATGTAAAAGATTCAGATCCTAGGCCTTGAAAACTAACATGTGATAATTAAAAGGGCTTTTATTGGCATTTAATAGAGATTCTTTTTTCCTCTTTCTCCATAATAAGAGGCATGGGGAAACGGCTTATTTTTGCTAATAATCGGATTAATTGCACCCAAAGTAATTTCAGATTTTCAAACCCCATTACTCTAAACATGTGAATCACACGTGCCAAGGATTCTGCAGACTCTGTTCCTCCAAATCAACCTCCAAGCCTCATCCCCAAATCGAACCTAACCTATTTTTTTTTTTGTTTGTTCAAACAAAAGAATCTATTGTATACTAAACGAATCAAAGAAAGTAAGAGAAACTCTCTTCTCAAATTTTATTTTTTTTCTAATTTTGAATTATTTAATTATATCATCCAATTGAATTTCAATATATTTTTTTATTTTTTAATAACTATTTAGCATTTAAAATTTTCGTCATCTTTATTAACTATTAACTATTATATGAAAAAAAAATTATAAAATATAAATTTAACACATTAATAAATAATTTTTTAATAATATTAAAATTAGGTTAGAATAGGGATAGCGGTTGGATAAGAATAAGGTTTATGCGACAATGCATAAATATTATACATTTTGTGTGTCACATGGGCCGAGCAATGCTTGAACCAAAACCGTACTACAATGTCACACCCATATCTCGCTGCTGAATTCACAAATACAATTATTCAAGCACGTGACGATCATGTGCCCATGGCTGCACAGCCTCCATTGCCGCAAACCTACCGCCAAGGCTCCTTGCCAAAACGAACCTAGCGGATATAAAGCCCACCAAAACCCTACTATGCCAGACCCACAGCTCCTATCTACTTCTGCAGAGTCATTTGTTCACGAACGTCTCTTCTCTTCTGCGTCGATGGCTTTCCTCAGCTGTCTCTTTTCTTTCATCTTTCTCTTGTTCTTGATGTTCTCCTTCTCGGAAGCAACTGAGATTCTGGTTGGTGGCAGAGAAAACTTATGGAAAATCCCATCGTCTCCTGATGAATTCAACCATTGGGCTGAGAAAATTCGGTTTCGGATTGGCGATTCTCTCGGTAATTTCATTTCCATTTTAAGCTTCACTATATTTTTCCATCTGGGTTTTCATTTTCTTCCTTGTTTTTTCTGTGATTCCATCTTTTTTCGATGGCCTTCTGTATATGGGTTCTTCATTATCTCTCCCTTAGTTAGCAGTGACTTAGTACTTTCACAGGTGCACTCTTACTTCCATACGTCTGAGTTTTTTTTATTTTCTTGTAGTTTAACAATTCCCATTATTTCACATGATTTACTATCTGGGTTCATTTGCTTTCACATGTTTCTGTTCTAACTTTCGGTTGATGATGTTTCCATTTCCTTGTGCTTTGATTCTTCTAGCCTTATTTTACCATGATTCTCATTTCTCCATCTGGGTCTCGGTTATGTCTCACATTCTACATTTCATACCCATTTTCTCTCTCGGCTAGTCTGTTTCCAATCAAGGCTCTCATTTTCTTCTGCCTTTTCTCTCTCCTTTTCTTCCTCTTTCGATATTTTCCATCTGGCTTTCCTTTTCGTGCACTCTTTATTAAATCTTTTTCTTGCACTCTTTCCATATATTGTCAATTTTGATCTGCTATGTTGCCAAGTTGATACTTTGGAGTTTGGAAGGATAGAGTTTTACGCTCAAAAATCAAAACAACATGGACAAAAGTTGAACTTTTCCTCTATTTTCTCGGCAACCAAACAAAAGGTTTTCCATTTTATTACCACTTACAAGCACAAACTTTCCCATCCCATAATGTTTTGTGTCCAACTATGATCGTCCAATAAGTGACACGTTTAAAATTTTTTCTTTTATTATTTCATGTTAATTTGTTTTTTCCATAGTCAAGTATTACAAATACATAAAACCAACATTTTTTTTGGATATGATACAAAAAATTTTTTGGTATGCTACCAACATTTTTTTTCAATATCATACCCTTAATCTTATCCTATTGATCCCGATTATTTCTTTTTCTTGAAATCACTCTTATGTAACTCTATTCCTCATTCATTTTCTTGTATTCAGTTCTGAAGTACGATGGAAAGACTGACTCTGTTCTTCAAGTAACTGAGGAGGACTACAAAAGTTGCAAGACAGCCAAGCCAATCAAAACGTACCATGATGGAGACACAAAGATTGAGCTTTCCCATTCAGGGCCATTCTTCTTCATCAGTGGGGCTGAAGGGCACTGTGAGAGGGGCCAGAAGCTAGTAGTCGAGGTGTTATCTTCTAAACATTCTCAGTCTAACTCTCCGGCACTGGCAATGGCACCCGCGCCTTCTCCGGCGAGTGACGGTCATGGTCTGAGGGTCGGGGTTGTGGGTTTTGTTTTGGCGTTTGGAAGCATGGTTGAGTTGGCTTTCGCTTAGAGTGTGTGTGTGTGTGTGTGTGTGTGAGAGAGAGAGAGAGAGAGAGAGAGAGAGAGAGAGAGGGAGGGAGATGATATGGGAGAGAAACATGGCTTAATACGTGGATGGTTTTTGATTTGGGATTTTATTTTGATTACGTATCTGCTTTTTCAGTTTTACTGTTGAATGGAATTAAATACTTCCAAGTCTGTAAATAATTGTGGATCAAAATTGACAAATTACATAAACATATAAATCTATGTTACAAATTCTCAATAAATTTGTGTAATTTCTCAATTTTATTTGGCTGCTTATAACCAATTTATTTATATGGTATCGGTAAAAAATCTATTCTATTGTTGAATTGTTTGAGGGAATTATTGTTGATCAATCAGGATTTCACTTATGAATAAAATTATTTTTATTTAATTTATTAATATAATTTATTGATCTAATTTATTATAATTATTAGAATGGTTATGAATCTTAACAAATAATATGGTCTATTATGATTATATGTGATTAAGTCAACAAAATAAGTCACTAAATTAGCTTCATGGAAAAAGTTTGTGGATTATTTTGCTATTCATATATGCATTTAAAAATAATCTTAATATTATGGTAACATTTTTTCTTAGGGATTCAAATCCCCTCCATTACCTCTTCCCTCAATTCCCCTCAATATAGTGCTAGATGAGTGACCGTATAAAATTTTGAATTTCAATGAATATGATTTTTTTTCTTGTGAAATTTTTTTTTAATAATGGTTAATACTCTATCAATAATAAAAATGAATGAGAAAACATCTTATCCATTGAAATTCAAAATTTTACACATCTTACTCATCTAGCACTATATTGAAGGGAATTGAAAGGAATGGGATAATGGAGAAGATCTGAATCCAATGAAGGGGATCTAAATCCTTTTCTTAGTATGATCATTTATATTGTATGGACTATTTATTATAGGTCTGATATATCTTTTTATGGATTTTTTTCAAATTATTTTTTGGGGAAATTTCAGCCACATCCCTTTTATTTTATCATATCTTCAACGACACTCCCTCTATTTTTTGAATCTTCACTAAAGCCCTTTGTTAGATTAAAAATGTTAACTAGAATGTAATTTTACTAAATTGTCCATGATATATTTAAGAAAAAAATTTATCCACACTCCTCTACATAGACATATCTTCAATGAGATCTCTTCAATTTTTTAAATTTTTTTATGTATTATAAGTCGGATAGATTAAAATTAGATTTAAACTAATTAAAATTTATTTTTTACGTATTAAAATTTAAGTCAATTAAAAATTATATTTTTTTACATGTTAAAATTTGAGTCGGTTAAAATTCTATTTGATCAGATTAAAAATAATTTTTAGTCGACTAAAATCAAATTTTAATTAACTTGTATTGAATTTTAATTGGTCCGAATTTTGATATATAAAAAAATATAAATTTTAATCGACTCAAATTTTAATGAATTAAATTTTAATTGATACGAATTTTAATAAGTAAAAAAATATAAATTTTAATTGACTCAAAACACATTTTAATTGGCACTAACAACTCAGGTAGAGATCAGATCGGCTCGAGTTTTAATAGACTTGAATTTTAATACGTAAAAAAATAAAATTTAATTAGCTCGAATCGAATTTTAATCAACTCAAATTTTAATATGTAGAAAAATGAATTTTAATCGGCTCGAAATTTTAGTTAAATTTTATATGAAAATATGGTTTGGGGTTTATGTAGGGGAAATTTTGATAATTTTTTTTGTTAGAAACAATAGTTTAATGGCAAGGGATGTCAAGTGATATTTAAATATAAACTAGAAAGGGTGTTAGTGATATTTTGAATTATAGAGATGGTGTCTTTGAAGATATGGTAAACTAAAAAGAGTGTAACCAAAATTTTTCCTAAGATCTATAATTGACTATTTAGAAAATCTAATTTCTTATTTAATTTTTTAATTTCTTTGTCAATGCTTCCTTCAACCTTTGCTTCTAATTTTTTTTCAACAATTCTAAGTCTTTCGGTTATTACAATTAACTGTGTTTATTTTGAATTATTTTCTAAGTGGATGAATAGTTTTTAATTTTTCTTATTTCTTCGATAACTCAATAAATGACCACAATAATAATTACAATATTTCTAAACATAATAATTAGAAGAGAAATTTGAGACAGACAGCATGATTAAAACAACTCTCTTTACCTCATCTTTGGAGACTCTTACAATACTCAATTGTTGTTATGAAAGATGTTCGATCTTATTCTCAAAATTAGTCTTATGAGTTGTGAGACTTGTACATTCCCCTTTGTTACACATATTATACACTTATTTACTTTTACATCTTCGATTTGTCTTTTGTTGGTGTGTTTTGAACTTACACAATACAGGGTGTGGGGCTCAAACAAGTCCACGGGGATGGCCCGGCGAGAGTAACAGAGCTATCTTAGTGGGCCCATTATATCTCGTTCGTTACTGTTTAAAGAATTATGTAATTTTTTTCAAAAAAATGCTGTTTTTTCAAATGACATCTTTGTTATAAAATTGTCATTCCACATGACGCTCTCAAGTGATATTTTCCGTGGAAAAATAAAAATTGAAATGATGATTTAACGTTCTATTTGATTTATGGATCACTTTTCTAGGTTGCACAGAATAGATAATTTTTGCAGTAGTGAAAACGTAGAGCCAACGATGTTTTTAAAAAATGCACGAATTCGAAAAATAAATTTAAAATTACTTGAATTTAAGAAAATAAAATTAAAAAAGAATGGGAATCATAAAAAAACTCTTTATTTTTTGGTAGTGCACTTAAAGATGCTTTTTCAAAATTATACCAAGAAGTTGATAAGAATAAATTTAATATTTTAAAGACTAAAATGATTCAATTAAAATATTAAACACTAAAATGAGATAAAATGTATATTTTGGGGAACTATGATGTAATTAACCCTTAAAAAATGAAAATCAAAAAATTTCCACTCCAGGGTGTTGGCTGGTCAAAATTTTTTCTCGCGTGAATTCCACAAGGAAACAAAGGTTAAATTATTTTTCTCATGTTGTCTATTATATTCTTACTCATGTTCTTCATCTATCTGTATCTGTATCTATACTACTATTCTAAAAAGACAACAACTCTTAAAAATTTTTATTTTTCATTTTTATCCTTAAAAATGCAATAATCGCATTTTAATCCGTGCAAGTTAATTGATAGACACCCTCAACTACTCTCTCTTTCAGTTATACTCCGTTGCACGTTACTTCACCTCTTGAAGTACCCTTCATCACTTAAAATATCTAACGCCGCTTGGGATGAACCAACCGACATTTTCTCAAAACCAGAAACCCAAACACCATTGTAATCCTTCTTCTCTTTCTCCCTATACCAGTCCACATTTTTTGGAACCCCCATATCTCTAGGACGCTCCCTCACTGTTATGGCAATGGTGTCTAAAACTCATAGAAAATACAGTCCACGAAAAATTCCCCTTCAGTGCGAGCCTCTGATGCGTCTCATCCACCAGCGATACTCCCGATCGCCCCTCCCTGAATCGCTCGAATTCAGGTACAACATATAATTCTATGAATTTTTTAATATTATTGTATTTCTGTTTATCTACCAAATCGTCGTCTGTGGCCACTTCAGACACACAAAAAAATTGGCTCATGCCTTCAATTCTCTCTCTATCTACTGCACGTCATTTCACCCCCTCTCTCTCTCTCTCTCAGAAATAGTTAATTCTCACAGTCGGCGAGTCGACCCAAATTCAAAAGCTATGGTGAGATTCTTGGAATCACATCCAATGAGAAGAATTAGGTATGTTTGATTGTCATTCTAATTAGGAATAGTAATTTGGTCATTTATGTTTTTGGCAAGTGCATTCTTCTTTGTTTCTGGCATTTGATTTCGATTACTTGATGTTAATTCGAATGGTCCTCGGCCTATTTTGTTAATGGTTTTGTGTTCTCCTTCTCTATCCCCTCTTTCACTCTATTCATTGCTCCAATAGAATGTTAAGCTAGGTGACATTGCACCCTCTCTCTCTCTTTCTCATTTTTGTTTTATTTTGATATGGTGTAGGAGAAAAACACAAGTTATTGGGGATGGAGGAGCTTTGGTTTCATAATTTTTGCCTCCCTTTTTGGGTAAAGGTCTTTTAAGATTAAAACTCTGGTAAATAAGATCAATTTACTGAATGTTTTGTCTCCACCAATTTTCTTTGACAACATAACAGCTAACCTCAGCCTCCAACCTATGAGGGTCTGTCCGAATTAACCATGTTTATAGTGAATTCTTCGCCTCTTCTCACTCATATCAACATATGTGCCTACATTTATATTCTATATAAATTTATCTGTATTTTCTTGGTCTTGATTTTCTTGTCCATAGTTTAAGAGACTGAGGTGAACTGAAGTCCTTTGTTCTTGAAAGCAATGCAAGAAAAAGGAAGCTCCGTCAATTGCTCCAATATAGATGTTGAATTAAATTTTTATACAAAGCAAATCAAAGCTATTAATCTATTTTTGAATTGATCCATCACAGGTATATGTTTAATCTCAAATTTGAATAGATGGTTAAGTTGTTTTGACAATAATTTTATGAGATTGTAATCTACTGAAAGTGGTGGCAGTGAGAATTTTATTTTATGGTGATGCACTCTTACGGCTCAGCACAAGGTATATCTAATTTCCTCTCTACCTATCTTCTTGTGTTGATAACATTGTAGGGAAGCATACAAGGACCTATCATCTAACGTGCTATTGATGCAATATATGGTGTGCTTTCTTTCTTTTTTTTTTGGGTTCTTGTGAGGTGGGAGTTAAAACCTATAGTTGATATTAACTTAAAAAAAAATTTTTTTTCCATTTCATCCTCTGGTAGTTTTAAATATTTGTGTGATAAATATATCTTTGTTGGTGAGAACTAATTATAATGTTAAGCATTTCTTCATTAGGCCTCTCAAGTCATAACGGTGGCAACAATTATGTTTACTTGCAGGGTCATGG